GTGACTATCCACATGCCAGATCTATCATATACATCATATCCAGACTCATTTTGGAAACTTAGATTTCATTTTTATGACCGACTTCTCGTCATTGAGAATTGGAACGATTTGACCTTGTTTGACCTCCCTGTGACGTCATAGGTCAAATATCAAGGTCATCGATATCCTATCTTGTGCATCTCGATGAGCTCTTTCGAATGTCGTTTGAATTTTTCCGGTCCGGCTATTGGTTCCGGAGACACGACGGAGGGGGACCTTTGCCCCCCCCCCCAACAGGACGTGGAACCTGCCAGACCTCAACGGCGCGCAGGCTAGAGGTATTGACCAGCGGGATTTGGCATGCCTTGTATCCTTGGCTACAGTGAACTGCGTGACGAAGAAAGGGTAACCAACCAACTAACTGATGCCCGTGTACCTTTTGCTCTTTTCCGGCAGAATACATACCTAACCGTAAATTCGTTATGTAAGTGCGCGGCCCGCATGCAGCCACCCTGCCCTGTTTTTGAATTGTGAAATGTCACGCATACCATGCGTAATTTCATAAAATTCCGGCTTGATTCGTGTAATTGGTCTTATTTCCGTTCCCTGGGCATTCGGCTATAAGATTATTTTCCTAATTCCTGATATCCTAATATAGTAATTCCTAACACCTTTAGGAATCTTTGGCAATTCACAGAGCACAAGGTATAAGTGCTTATTTAGTTTCCGTTCTCTGGGCACTTTTCTATATTATTACGAGCGAGCGAGCGCAGCGAGCGAAGTGAGTCTTTTTCAATATAACGGAAAAATCTCAGTATGAGCGGCCCGGCCCGGCCCGGCCCGGCCCGGCCCGGCCTGTAACGCTTTTGAGAGGCTTATATCTCAGCAACCGCTGGACCGATTTGCCTGCGGTCTTTTTTGCTGGGTAGCCCCATCCCTTCTACCCCGTTACTTTTGACACATCTCAGTGACCGTCGTGGCACGTGCCACATGAAAAGTCAAGGGTGTTCAAGCTGTTTCGCAAAAGTAGTGATTTTGAAAGGCTCATATTTCAGCAGCCGCTTGGGCGATTGTCTTGCGGTAATTTTTGTAGGGTAGCTGCATCCCTTCTACCAAAGGTCGGGTACTCTTGATCTATGTGAGTGACCCCCACTGCACGTGCAAAATACAAAAAGAAGAGGTGCCAAATTTGTTCCCATTTCAATAACTCGGTAATTACTGGGGCGATTTCGCTGAAACTTGGCATACAGGTAGGCACCCACCAGACAATGCATTCCCATATGTTGCGGTTAGGGTGCTACTGCACGTGCGCACGTGCAGGGGGCGTTTCCAGATCTCGAGAACGGCTGGGCCGATTGCGCTCAAATTTGGTACACGGTTGGGGACCGGTTAGTAGGGTGCCGTGCAAAAGTCAGTTTGGACCCCATTTGCACGTGCGCACGTGCAGAATGCCGCTTCCAGATCTCAGGAACGGCTGGGCCGATTGCGTTCAAATTTGGCACACCGCTAGCGACCGGTTAGAAGGGTGCTTTGCACAAGCCCCGTTGGAAGTACCCTCTCGCCCTTCCGCACGTGCAGGGCCAACTATCTCGCTCGCTCGTTCTTCGCCCAAAAGGCGTTTTACTGGTTATTTTCCAGCCTGGGTAATTACGAGCGAGCGAGCGCAGCGAGCGAAGTGAGTCTTTTCAATATAACGGAAAAATCTCAGTATGAGCGGCCCGGCCCGGCCCGGCCCGGCCCGGCCCGGCCCGGCCTGTAACGCTTTTGAGAGGCTTATATCTCAGCAACCGCTGGACCGATTGGCCTGCGGTCTTTTTTGCTGGGTAGCCCCATCCCTTCTACCCCGTAATTGACTACTTTTGATACATCTCAGTGACCGCCGTGGCACGTGCCACGTGAAAAGTCAAGGGTGTTCAAGCAGTTTTGCAAAAGTAATGATTTTGAGAGGCCCATATCTCAGCAGCGGCTTGAGCGATTGTCTTGCGGTCATTTTTATAGGGTAGCTGCATCCCTTCTACCAAAGGTCGGATACTCTTCATCTATGTGAGTGACCCCCACTGCACGTGCAAAATACAACAATAAGAGGTGCCAAATTTGTTCCCATTTCAGTAACTCGGTAATTACTGGGGCGATTTCGCTGAAACTTGGCATACAGGTAGGCACCCACCAGGCAATGCATTCCCATGTGTTGCGGTTAGGGTGCTACTGCACGTGCGCACGTGCAGGGGGCGTTTCCAGATCTCGAGAACGGCTGGGCCGATTGCGCTCAAATTTGGTACACGGTTGGGGACCGGTTAGTAGGGTGCCGTGCAAAAGTCATTTTGGACCCCGTTTGCACGTGCGCACGTGCAGAATGCCGCTTCCAGATCTCAGGAACGGCTGGGCCGATTGCGTTCAAATTTGGTACACCGCTAGCGACCGGTTAGAAGGGTGCTTTGCACAAGCCCGTTGAAAGTACCCTCTCGCCCTTCTGCACGTGCAGGGCTCACTATCTCGCTCGCTCGTTCTTCGCCGAAAAGGCGTTTTACTGGTTCCTAATATCTATAGGAATCGTGGGTAATTCACAGTCTTCTAAAGTCTACCACAAGTGCTTCGCGCTCCCTTACTGCATGGACCTATTTCTATGATTGTCCTCGGTCCACATAACCGTGCTTTGGTTACTGTTCAAAATGCTAAAGGAAGCTAAACGAACTGTTTGCTTTAACCCTCGCCCTGGCAGGGCATTTTTCATAACACGGCCTGGCAGGGGGGATCGATGCGACCCCCCCCCCCCTCGCGATTGGCTCCTATGGCACCTAGAAACACCAAATTTGGTAGGTAGGTGGACCCCCTGGATTTCTCGCCCCTGTGCAAATTTGGTTGCTCTAGGTCAGTATTTTGGGGGGTTTTGGGGGGTATAAATGTAAAAATTTCGCTAAAAACAGGTCAAAAGTTTTTCGCTTATAACTTTGGATCTAATTAAGATAGAGCAAAATAAAAGCACCAGTGAACTCAGCACGTCAAGGCGCGTCGAATGATTTACCTTTTAGCTTGCTTAAGTGTACTTAAAGTTTTTCTTAATTTTTAAGTAAACTTTAATTAATTAATTAAGTTCAAGTTCACCAAATTGCATCATATCGCATATCATTCGATTCGGCTGATCACCAGGAACACAATGACACCAATTTTTTTAGCTCTAGCGTCATTATGTCCCAAGTAATTGGCAAAAACGTCATTTGACCTCAGTTGATCTCATTTGACCTGACCCATGGATAAGCACACCAAACAAAGAAGCACTAAGTGACCTGCTGTTAAGTACTGTGGTTTCAAAGCACAAAAGTGATGAAGCGAAGCGGATATCTCCGATATTTTCCGAATTTAGTATTTTCCCATAGGCTTAACATTACGACGTAATGACCTCTAACTGACCTCAGGTCAGTGACTCAAAAAACCCGAACTATATGTTATACAACTCGGTGAACTAAGCACATCCTGAAAGTTTGCAGGAAATCAGTCCAAAACTGTGAGTTGGACAGGTGTAAAAAAAAAATTGAAATTTGACCATGACCTTGTACCGGTTTTTCTGACCTGGTGACCTGACCCAAGGTCACGCGGACTTGAAATTTTTAGGTCATATGTAAAAAGGTTGCCCCATAGGCTGTGACAAATTTGGCGGCGCTGCGCGCCGCCGTTTTTACGCTATCTTTGAAAAACCTTAGGGGGGGTCGCATCGACCCCCCCCCCCCTGCCAGGGCGAGGGTTAAAAATAACAACGCATCGTAGGTAAGTATGTGGTGGGACGTGGGCAGGGGTTACATAAACCTGCTTAAAATAAAAAATACGCCCGGTTATATATGACAAGATATAACCGGTTCTTCCGCGACACTACGAGCGTCTTCTCTGAGGCGGCCCCGGAGCCGGGCCGGCCTCGGCGAGCAGCGTTCGGCGGCAGGCGGGCGGCCGCCCACGCCCCGGGCGGCAAGGCCGCTGAGGCGGCGGCCTCCTCTGATTGGTGGAGCGACTCGTGACACGTGACGGTGACGGCGCGGGGTTTGAGTGCATTTGCGCGGACACTGTTCTAGGCCGCCCAGTCTGACGCATGTCAACAGTGTTCTCGCTCTGAAATGTTTTTTTTTGCGTTTCCCACCCACCCACCACCATTTTTTTTTTTTTACACGCACCACACTCTTAAATAAAGATGGATTTTTCCACAAAATGTGGTTTTTTCCCCAGCTAGGTGCCCCGTTTTTTTTTCTAGTTAGGACTTTTTTTCCGGGGAAGGACAGTAAGCTACACTAGCAGTGACCGTCCAGGAAATTACGTGCGTGATCTGCAGATCCGTGATTGCGAGACTCCCTTGACATCGGTTTCTGCGTTTTTCCAGAATTTCCGTGAAATATTGTATTATGACGTAATAATAACAACTAATAAATGGTTTCGCAACAAACGCTTAAGTTTGGTATTTTCTGTACCTACTATTTTATTAATAATTAGTTCATTTTGTTAATAAAACGTCAAAAACACATAAAAAATCAAAGAAATAATTATTAATTACGTCACTTGAATTCTTACGGTGCGCCACCAAGTGCGCCAACAACTGTCTCGTATCACGCAATCTCGCAGATTCTGCAAAAAGTTCGTAGCTCTGAACTTTATATCGGTACGGAATATCCTGACCGTCCTGACTATCCGGCATTTCCTGGACTGAACGTCCGGGATTTCCTTGACTGAATCTGCGTGACCCCAGTGTAGCCGACCCTGTGTATTTCCTATCAGCTGAACTTGACCTGCGCACCGATTTTCTGCAAAACCCGAAAACTCGCAGATCACGGACGTAGGATCCCGCATAGTGTAGCTAGACCTTAATGGAGGACACACACGACAGGGTTTCTGGTTTGGGTGGTGACACCATTGCGCCGCGCGGGGGAGGGGTGGTGGCCCGTTGGCAGGGACATCTGATGAAACGGAAATGCTATAATTAACTGTATAAGCAGTATAACCATCAAAACAAATGTGGCAATACATTTATTTGTTATTCGGCAAACACAATAAGGTCATTATCGACCATAAACATTAAATGTAAGAATGATAACGAAGCTGTAATGAGAAGACGACTCCGTTCACAAATACATAGACATTCACCCCGTTCGCATGAGTCAGAGAAAATGACGAGTAGAATGGATATAACCGTCAAGCGAATAAAAACGTAGGTTTCGACTCATGTAGATTGGTAAAAGCGCGCAAAACTGACGCTTGCGCCGTACAAATATCTCCAACGAATTACTGGGAGATATACGCTCGCATGTATTTAGGGCCTTGCGCTCGCAAATCGCAGTCTCCCGGGCGACAAAGAATCTACGTCGGCCGACCAATAGCTTTTGATAACCGTGGCTGGCTGGAACGTGATTGGCCGGACGGGCGACGCCGGTCGACGCCGCGCGAGGCCTTGCCCGAGGCGGTCCCTCCGGGGCCGCGACGCGGAGAGACTGACGCCCCGCGCTCGCGCGCTCGGCGCGCGCTGCGGAGGTATACGTATGTCCCCGCGTAACGGAATTCATCCGTGGCGTGTTTTCTTTTCGATAGCGCTCATATAGACGGGGCTGTTGGCCCCGTATTTATCCGTGCTCTGGCTGATTGGATATCCACGTTCAGGCTGAACGACACATGTAAACGGGGTGGTTGAGAATGAAAAGAATTCCGTGAAAGTAGTTGCATATTGTGAGAATGCCGCGGGCCGTGTAGAGCATTCACAGCTTCACGCCGTTGATAAGGCGCCTCATTTTATGACTAGCCGGGTAACCGCGGAACCCATGAACTGAAGGTTTCCTTTGTCTATAGCAATATTAACCCTCGCCTGCACATGCCATTTTCTCATCCTAAAACACACATGGGGGGGGGGGTGTTGCCACCCCCCTCGCGCAATTTCGTTCCTGCTAGAGATAGAGCTTTGCCGCAAGACCTACAAATTCTTTGGGAAGAGACGAATCCAATGGTACCCAATTCTGCCTCATTAGGTCAATCATTGATCACAGAAACTTGAAATTTTCAGTGGACGCTCAGAAAGGATAGAGGAGCAGCTATACAAAAAAAACAGGCTTCTATCTCTGAAAATGTTTGGTGCAGAACAGAACAACTACCTGGGGGGGGAGGGTGGCAACCACCCACCCCCCTCCCATGTGCGGGCGAGGGTTAATGAATGACTGACGCGATGGTAGTCCTACCGCTAAAATTGGCGGCGTCACTGGCTTCACTACCTATACACACCCGACCACTGCTGACAGCAGGTTACACGTCAGGATGCTCTGATCCCATGCTGTTCCAGTGCCGCAGCTCTGAGGAACCAGCACTCCGTTGGAGCAAGTGAAGAAGCTGCGGCAGTCAGTCTCATCCGGGTAGAATTGGCCATGAACGCATGGCTCTGTAATTGTCGAAAATCAGTCAGTGAAGGAATGTAGAGGCATAGGAGGGCTTGGCATGCACATCAGTAGCAGCTAAGGCATTAAGGTACGGAACTGGGTTGCTCGGTACAGCAGGCTACATCTCATTATAATCATCTCTCTTTGTACGAACTGAAGAGTTAGGTAGGTATCCGATGGCTCAGTGGCCAATGCTCATCTATTACCTGTATGTAAGTACATACGTACCGGTCGGTGCTGCCGGAGTGGTTGTGGACGCTGTTGTTGGCGGTGTTGTTGACGCAGTGGATGACGCGGCTGAAGGAGGTGCATTAGAGGTTGCTGGTGCGTCTACGCCGGCCATCGTTGCCGCAGTGGTAATGATTGAGGAGGCTTCAGTTGACGGGACATTGGTCGAGGTGGCTTCGTTCGGCAGTATTTCTCCTGTTTGAAAATATTAGTCAGTAGAATCGCCGCTATTGAAGCATACAAAAGCGTACAATTTAATTGAACTAGTCATAGACCTCTGAACAGTATTTACTATACCTATGAAAGACCGGAAGATGTTTCCAAATTATGAACTTATGCGATGAGTATGTCTCACCACACGTTGTTTTGTTGATCGGTGCCAGTCCCACCGGACAGAAGCAGGTGTTTGACTGGCACGTGGCCACACCCGACGTCAGAAAGCTGCACTCGCGGTCATCGGCACACCAGTCGCCCAGGAACGCTGAAAATATGGGACGTGCTCGTACGTGCAATTACGATATACCATTACGATTATACCATTGCTCGTACGAGCAATGGTATTACTAAAAATTTAGTTAGGTTCGTGACACTGTAAAGTGGAAACGACGGATTGTTTCGTTAGGCTTGGCTTAACCCGTGCGTGTCTGTGGCAGGGGCCGCACAGAAGCCAGGTAACGTGAGTGAGCGGAGGGGACCGTGTCCAGTCGTGAGGCACGTTAAACGTTCGGACAAAACCCTGCCATACAACTGGAATGGCTCGATCCGGTGGTGGGGTCAGGGTCAGCACAACAAGCTATGCTTAGTGCGGGCTCCGATTCCTCAAATCCGCCCATTCAACCATTCGGACTAAATTTATTATAAAAAAAAAACGTAGAGGGGACCGAAACGGGCCTTGACCCTCGTCGGCACAGCCCATTTTGCGTCCTTCGACGGCATATGAGGGATGTCCGGACAAATTGCCAAAATGCGACTTGCCGAATGTCATTTTGCCGAATGCATTTGGCCGAATGTCATTTTGCCGATATGCTTTTTGCCGACGTGTCAAAAAGTCGAAATGCTAAAAGTCGAAATGCCATTTGCCGACATGCCTTTTTGCCGAAATGCCAATTTGCCGAAATGCTTATTAGCTGAATTGTGATTTGCCGAAATGTCGATTGGTCGAAATGTCAATAAGTCGAAATTAAATTTGCCGAAATGTCAATTTGCCGAAGTGTCAATCTGCCGAATTGGCAGTTTGCCGAAATGTCGATTGGTCGAAATGTAAATTTACCGAAATCAGTAGGTGGAACTATGGTCATGAGTACCCAAATATAGGAACGTTCCCATTTTTGGGAACGGAGTTCCCAAATATGGGAACGGGCGTTCCCATTTATGAGAACGGAAGGTAATTTTTCGGCCGTTCGCCCACTAAAACTCAATAGTGCATCACGTCTCAAAAAAGTGCACGCTAATTTAAGTATCTACTAAGTCTCTATAAAATTATCTTTAATCTGACCGTTGAACAAGGAAATTGACCGTCGAATGATATTTTTAATGATTTTTTGAAATGACCGAATGGTGAAAACATGGCTTATACTACATTTAACATGCAATTGAAAGGAAAATGAAGCGTTTTTTTACATTTTGAGGTCAAGTATAATAATTTTCGCCTGGTTATGAACTTTCATACTATCGACACCAGATGCTGACAAATGCAAGCGAACACGCGGACAGTCCCGAGGTAATATTGTTGACTTTTGGTGTCGGGGCGCACGACCGCGTGGAACGTCAGTGATTTTACCGAACTACTGTTGTAAACTCAGTTTCAGTGGCTTAAAATTATTCAGCTGTATTTTATCAGCCCGGAAAGACATTTTATTTGGATGCTAGCTGTTTAGCGATGTTTTATAAGGAGCGTCATGAGCGTGGTTTTTGTCTTCCGTGTTTCTAAGCATGATAGTTTTGGGGGAATTTCTCTTATATGGGTCGCTCTGTGTGGCTTATTTATAATTTTTATGCTGATTTCGATCATTCCTCGTGGCCATCCTACCAGGCCTTTTGCCACTTACACTCATTAAGAAAGGAAAAAACTAGATTTTCATTGGGACTAGGTGTTTTGAGGGTGTAACATATTCAGCGTTCCCATTTTTGGATACTTCCTTGTGCTCGTCAACGATCGGTGATAAGCAGACAGGTGCTTGACATCTCTCCACCCTCGGCGCGGACGGTGGATATAGGTATGGAAGACCTTGTTGAGCATCGCCGAGCGTTGTGAATTACGTAATCCTGCAGAGGGGGGCGTGCCCCCTGCGGGATCGACGGGAATAAGAGTGCAGAAGACCCGGCGAAACATGCGACGGTCTTGCCGGAAAGGTCATCTGATGATTGTTGCGTTAACAATAATTTACGGCGTTGGACGTGATGCTTGTTAATGAAAAGAGCCCCTGAAAGGCGTCGGTGAAATCGTTCCCAATTTTGGGTACGCCGTTCCCATAATAAGGAACGCTTGCAGCGCCAGTGTACGAGAGCGTTCCCAAATTTGGGCTCGCGGCCCGGATGTTGGACTGCTTTAGAAATAGGGGAAGGATTTGAAACTACGATGGGCCTTACAATATCAAACTCTTTCCCAACAATATTGAGGCAAATATCAGGCGGTTCACGATCGTTTTATATTTTTTGGGCGTCATTAAACGGTTCTTTTTCTTGTTTTAAATAATGCCTACATGGCGTTCCCATATTTGGGTTTATCGTTCCCAAACATGGGAACGAAAATGCGTTCCCGAAAATGGGTACGCTTGACCATAGTTCCGCCTACTGAAATGTCAATTTGCCGATATGTTGATTAGTTGAAATGTAAATTTGCCGAAATGTCAATCTGCAAACCTAGGCTAGGTCAGGTTAGGTTAGGTTAGATTAGGTTAGGTGATATCTATTTAGGTACTTTAGGACCGATCACCAATTTACTTTTGGTGCAATCCCCAAGTAAGAAGCAAATCACAAAATATTCTTTGACCTTCTGATTTTATATCTAATAATTATTCATTGCACAAACAAGTTTAAAAGCAGCGATACAATATAAAAATTAACATCGAACTACTCGTGGCGAAGCAGTGCAGTGCCGAAGGCAATGCCTTGGGAGAGATTACAGGCAATGGTAAGTCAAATATTTTTAGGTTAAGTGGTTGTGTATCTGGCTTCAGGCCGATAACCACTTAACCTAAAAATATTTGACTTACCATTGTCTGCAATCTATTCATAATTCATGTGAGTGACTTCTTCCTTATCAACGGGTAGAAAAAATCAGTAGGTCAGGTTAGGTAAGGTTTGGTTATGTTTCTTTCTTCATATATTGGTGACATGCAAGCATCATATCAGGATTTAGGAGCTCCAAAAATGAAAGAATGTGTAAAATTTACCTTTAACCCTCGCAAGCACATGGGGAGGGGGGTTGCCACCCCCCCCCCCCCAGGTAGTCTTTCTGCTCTGCACTCAACATTTTTAGAGCTAGAAGGCCGAGTTTTCGTATAGCTGCTCCTCTATCCTTTCTTGACGTCCACTGAACATTTCAAGTTTCTGTGGTTTTTGGTTTCGGAGATATGACCTTGTTTTTCAGGTCATGTCATGACCCAAATGGCCAATTCTCAACATCTTGCGTTGGCTATGGGCCTTGTGAGCTTTTGACACCTTGATTTCGGCCTTTTTTGCCAGTCTTACCTCCCACCTATCATGGAACATGTTGTTCGACGATGTTCAGATGTCAAGATCAAGGTCAAGGTCAACCTAGGTCATCTAAGATAATTGCGTTTTAGGCAAGCGGAAATTACTTTTTGTGAAGTTTTTTGACTACATTTTTGGTAAAAGCTTCTCAGATCATGATTTCATGTAATATGGACACATAAACAATCGGTGCACACATCAGTATACACACAAACACACACAGACATACAAACACATATAATTGACCTTGACCTAACTTGACCTGAAATGACCTCAGCAGCAAAAACCTGGTCGGGTAGAGTGACAAAGAGGTTCTAGCTGGCTTGGCACCAGAAAACGGCGTCGTCATCGGTATATGATAAGCAGCGCACTTGATATCCAACGGTGACCCAAAACAGCAACATTTTTTAGTTTGACCTGACCTGGAAGGTCAATGACTGACCTGAGAAGGTAAAACTGGATATCATTGGATTCGTCTCTTCCCAAAGAATCTTTTTGGTCTTTACCGCTAAGCTCTATCTCCAACAGGAACGAAATGGCGCGGGGGGTGGCAACCCCCCCCCCATGTGCGTTCTAGGATGGGAAAATGGCATGTGCGGGCGAGGGTTAAAAGTGAGTCGGTCCTAGAGTTAATATTTACGGGTTGGGTTAGGTTAGGTAAGGTTAATTTCGGCTAATTGGCATTTCGGCAAATTCACCTTTCGACTAATTGACATTTCGGCAAATTGACCTTTTGACTTATTGACATTTCGGCAAATTTACATTTCTACTAATTAGCATTTCGGCAAATTAGCATTTCGGCGAATTGACGTTTCAATTTTCGACTAATTGACTCTTCGGCAAATTGACATTTCGAATAATTGACATTTCGGCAAATTAGCAATTCGGCAAATTGACATTTTCGACTTTTTTGACACGTCGGCAAAAAGACACGTCGGCAAAATGCATTCGACATATTGGCATTCGGCGAAACACAGTTCGGCAAATTGTCCTGCAACCATATGAGCGTTGGTTGTTACGACCCCCCCCCCCGCATTTGGCCCCTGCTTCGCGGAAAAACGAGCGTGCTGCCCGTCACGAGAGGAAGCCAATGATACCCAATTTTAAGGTCCTAGGTCATCGGTTGACCTTCCAGGTCAGGTCAATGAACCAAAAATCGGGAATATCGGGACCTGTTAGAAAGTCGTAAAGTGTGGCTGCTAAGGGGTTTTCCGGGGTGTTGATCACGAATATCGTGTTAGTTTTGATCACAGATGATGTCGTTAAGCGTTAAGACCAGGCCGGGTCAGGTCAGGTCAGGTCAACCGGTAGGGGTCGTGACGGGTATTCGTAGTATGTACCTGTCATCCGCCTCTGACAGCTTTGTAACATGTTACGAAGGCACCAAAACTACTTCGTAAATGTTCAAATGGTTGCTAAATTCGAATTCAGCTCCAAAAACTAGCCTAGAAACATGTGAAACTCGAAAAAGTGAACCGAGGTCACCAAAGGTCAATAACCTGACCTGACCTTCAGGTGACCTTGACACCCACCCTAATGCATGAGAGCAACATCAAATCACATGTTTGAACGCTTGAAACCACGAAAAGACTGCAAACGCGCGGCTAATGCGAGCAGACATACGCCGAATCGCGATTCCGGCCAAACATGGTCTCGGAAAAGAGGTCACAGGTCAAAGGTCATTTGGGTCAGGGTCATGAAATTTTCAGGATCAGGGTAGGTGTAAAATTGATCAATGCGAGGGTACTGAAAGTTTCGTCGCGATCGGCCGCCTTTTTACGCGAGTTATTCGCGAAAAACCTTAGGGGGGTTGCATCAACCCCCCCCCCCCCCTGTGCCGGCGAGGGCTAGCCTAGAAGCATGTAAAACTCGATAAAGTAAGCCGAGGTCATTAAAGGTCAATGACCTGGCCTAACCTTTAGCTGACCTTGACATCCACCCTAATGCATGGGAGCAGCATGAAATCACATGTCTGAACGTTTTAAACCACGAAAAGATTGCAAACGCGCGGCTAAGGCGAGCCGACATACGTGGAATCGCAATTCTGGCCAAACATGGCCTCGCGGAAAGTAGGTCACAGGTCAAAGGTCAGTTGAGTCTGGGTCATGAAACTTTCAGGTTAGGTGTGAAATTGATTAACACGCGCAGTGGAAGGGGGGGGGGGGCGGATTTCGCCCTTCCCTCCTGTTTTTCGCCAATAACTCGCGCCGCAAACATAATATTAATGTGAAATTTTGGATACCTGTCCATAATTGAATTGCGGATCTTCTCGTGCAAGAAATAAGAAAATCAGTTCACAACTTTTCTAGTAATAGCGGTGTAAAGTCAAACATCCTGCCGCCGCGGCGGCGTGGCGGCGCGGCGGCCGGCGCTAGCCGTTACGCGCCGCCTGAATTGTAGACTGTGCCGGGGCGGGACGGTTCCGTCTTTACATCGCGCTCCTTACTGCTGATTACATTAGATTCGCGTCAAATTTGGTGGGAAGACTGAGAAATGTACAGGCAATCATATGGTCAAAGAATTTTGAAAATCGACCGGTAACAACTTGAGTTGTGAGCGTGTAAACACAAAATTGTGATTGTCGCGTTTCCCGCGTCGGCCGATCCCGCTTCAGCCGGCGACATCTTACCCTTAGCAGGCTTCTAACTGCCATATTTATTGTTGGATTAACTAGAAATTCACTATACGTACTCGCAAATGTTTGGTCTTTCGTATAGTGAAAAAAAAGAAAATCGGCCGGTAACTTTTTGAGTTATCGGCGTGAAAACGCAAAAAAGTCGCCGCAAAATGACCTTGTAGTCGGCGCGCCCTTCAGCCCCAATAAACAAACAAACAAACAAAAAAGTCGCTCATATGGCAGATTTGATCACATTTGACCTCATTTGACCTTGAAGATATTGACCTAGGGTCATGAAATTCACACACAACAGAGTTCCCCATGGTCCCCACCTACCCTCCAAATTTCGTCTTTCTAGCTCCAGTGGGAGCTGAGATCTTAGGGGGGGGGGGCGACATCCGCCCCCCCCCTTCCACTGGGCGTAGTACTCGCAACCCTTCCACTGCGCGTGTTAACGCGAGGGTTTTAAAAGTTTCGTCACGATCGGCCGCCTTTTTCCGTGAGCTAGTCGCGAAAAACCTTGGGGGGGGGGGGGGGGTCATCAACTCCCCTGTGCCGGCGAGGTTTGAAAGCAAAATTGGTATCCCGGCCTTACTTGCAATCACCGGTATTGCAAAAAGGGCGCATTTTAAAGTTGAATTTTTTCAACAAAAGACATGTCTATCGGATGCAGTTTGAGATGAGGAACACGATAGTGCTATTTACCTATATTGGTGTATGAAGTCAAATTCGTACTGAAGAATTGATTTGGAAAGTTTAAAATTGTAAAAATTTTTGCTAAAGGATGCGTACCTATAACTGGGCTATTTTTTAAGATATCTGCCTAAAACTTGCTAGAGTAAGTCATAAGCATGTTTTCTATCATATATATTCCGTTTTTTCGAAAATTAAAAAAAAAACTTTTTGAAAAAAACATAAAAATACAAATTTTGAATCTTAAACCGCGCCCCGCTGGGGTCTGCCGAGCAACGCGCCCTGCTGGGGGGGCAATTTGCCCCCCACCTCGAGAACCACGCAACATAGCGACAAGCGGCAAACGGCGTTGGATAGCCCCAACAGGGAACTACCTTGTGACCCAATTTCATTAACCTAGGTCAAACTGATGACGTCACAGTTTAGGTCAAATGTCGAATTTTCACCGTTTACAGGCATTTCAAGAATTGCGTTGTAAAATCGAGTAAAAGGCATTTCATTGAAAATCATCGATGGGTAAATGTTCGTCAAACACATATTTTGTTATTTGAGGTCACTGATACCAGGTCAGGTCACAGAGGTCACTTAGGGTCACAGAGGTCACACAGGTCACTTAGGGTCTCAATATGAAAATATCATGTGATGCATGTTTTATGGTCCATTTTATATGCCAAACACGATTATGTGGGTCAGACAGCCTTTGGGGTCAGTTTAGATTATGTTCTGGTGAAGGTCAGGTCAAGGTCAGGTCAAATTAGGTCAAATTTCAATGTTGATATTTTGTGCATTAAATGGGTATCGATTCGATGCAGCTTGTCACGGGGAGTTCGATGGTGGTTTTTGTTTTGCGCTACGTGGTCTAGAATTGCTAAAAATTGAGTTTAAAAAATGACGTCATCAATTTTGAACAGTTGTTTCGCTATAACTTGGCCAAAAAAAAGGAGGTATCGATCTTGAATTTGGTATGTATATAGAAGAGCGAAGGGACTATCACATATTCTGTTTTTTTTTTCGAAATTCGGAAAAAAATGATTTTTTGTGTTTTTCTTAAAAAATCATTTTTGTGATTTTTTTAGGTCAAAAGCCCCAAATTTCGAAAATCTAAGTTAGCAGTTTTGTAGCGCTGTGTTATGTCTACATGACCATATAAAGAACTTTAAAATTGCTTGGTGACTGTAGCTTTTGTGAGCGTTTCAAGATTTCATGTTTTTTGCTCATTTTTGCTCGAACATGACCTCAGTTTGACCTCAATAACTCCTGACCTAGGGTGACCTAAGACTTGCAATTTTGTGTGAAGGTGTCAAATTGATGCCCGGGAAGGTACTGAAAATTCGGCGGCGCTCGCTACGTCAAACGGTTTAGAAGTTATTGCAGAAAAACGGGATGGGGGCTATGAATAGCTACCCCCCCCCCAGGGGGGCGCGGGTTAAATGTTACATTTAAAATCGGTCTGAAACGGCAAAAACGGCAAAATCACGTCATTTTGCGAGTGGCCTGCCGGAATGCCTGTCTCCATGCGCAGTGTTTGAGAACTAGGTAGGTCTCTGGGACTGGGTAATAACGACGAATAAGGGTAAGTCCGAGAGAATTTATAACATTCTCTTACTTAGCAGGTAGGTACCATATCGGTGGAGGTATTTATTTGCTTATGTCGAGCCTTGCGTAAGTGTTTGGTTTAAGCTAAATATAAATATATAATATATGAGTAAAGTTATCTGGGAATAAGCAGCCTGAAAATACAAGACACCTTTGCAGCCTTCTGGGACCATGATATAGCCTCCTCACCGAGAGCATGTCTGTAGAAGACTGGACTGGCCGTGGCCGGTCGTAGGCCACCGGTGTTCCCCCGAACACTAAGGTGGGTGCAGGAGCTAACATCAGCCTCGTAAAACCAGCTGAGACAGGCCGGCTGCGATAGACAGGACTGCTTACACCAGCCTGGAAAGGAAACGGCGGTGCTATGTTGAGCCTGTCCCGTAGCTCAGTTGGTAGAGCATTGGACTCCCGGTAGTGAGAGCCCGGGTTCGAGTCACTACATTTGAGACTCCTGATTGGGATGGTCTGTGGTTGGTGGGATCAGCCGCAGCCAGTTAGTTGGGTGGAACAAGCAGGGCACGTTTGACCCGCGCATGACTGGGCCGTATTTTCCATAACGCGAGTGACTGGGGGGGGGGGCTCTCCAGAGCCCCCCTCCTATCTCCGAAACTTCTGGGCCGATCGTCAAAATTCAAACAGCGTCTGATAGCCCTGGAAAAACTGTCGAGCGAAACCTATTTTCATTGACCTCGAGGTCACCGATAACGGTTGGCCTGCCACCAACCGCAACCATACCTATCAGGAGGCCCATGTCAAGCGCCCGTCACGCTTCGAACCTGGACTGTTATAACCGGGAACGCGTGCTATCACCAAGCGGAGCCCAACGCTCAACCAACTGAGCTACGGGACCGCAAAATGTCAGGTCAATTTTGCGACATCCATTATAAGTCATTGGGAGAAAATTGAAATGCTCTTCTTTTGGCCGAAAACACATTCAAACATTCAAACATTCATTCATTCATTCATCATTCTTCAAACAAGGTGACACAGGTAAACATGACACAATGAATCGGGAAAATTGCACCTGTGACCCCTTCTATGCCCTGTGGTCATCTAAGATCATGAAACATCTCCAACAGTTTTTAACCATAACTTTAAGTAGAAACATGCCAAAGCGCTGAAAACACCATGAATGTGTTCAGCTCAACAATACCTATCGAATGACATGCAACATGACCTTTTTGTGGCCTTGACCAGGGGTCAAATTTTCAAGTTGATCTTTTTCAGGTCAACTTATACCTAGTTCATTCCACCCGTCTCGACGAGACAAACTAGATGCTGGTAAAATCAGCGTCATACAAGTTTCAAGTCAAAAGTTATGATACAAAAACTTTTTCCGCAAAAACGCCAACCTGGAAGCTAAACCGTTGAACTTAGGTAAAATCTGAGAAAATAACTCAGAAAGACCTTTGAAAGAGCTATCGAATGCGCTTTCCCGCAGCACTGCAGCTCTATTGGTTCCTGACTTATGCGCCGATTTGTGAAAAGTTGTCAAAATTGGGAGCAAAGGTTCATTAGAATATTACCTTTGGTGACCTTCAAAGACCTCAGCGATGGCCAGATAAAAAAATGACGTGGGTAATTCTGAAATATACTGTAGCGAGCTATCTGCTGCTTTTTACCGCGCCTTTCTAGATTGCTTACTTTCCGAGATAACCTGGTGTGGCCAAAAAGCCCCCCCCCCCCTCCACCGTGGCGAGGTTGGCTGAGAGGTCCACCCGGGCGCTGGCTAAACAAAACATCCATAGTTTTATCTTCCGTTGACTACATATTACTCTTTACGTCGATTTAGAGACAATATTTGGCTATTCAAGGAAATTCAGGAGGTCGTCGGTCTTACTGGGGACGGTCCCCAGTATCCCAAAAGTTACTGGGGACCGGTCCCCAGTGTCCCCAGTGGTGGTTACGCGCCTGGCCAGGCAGCGTTCCAATGACAGGCGTGTGCATCACAATTTGTCAATAATATAATATGTCAATAATATAAATAAATCAAATGCTGCCAGATCCAGAAAGGAAAAACTTCGCCGCATGAAGGTTTCATACACACCAGTAACTTTACAGTAAACTTTTTGCTTCGAAATAAAAGTAACGATTAACGGATTAACGGACTAAATTTTAACGATTAACGGAGCCGAAAAGTAACGGAACTAAAACGGTCCGTTACACGTGGAAAAAATTAGCGAGTCCGTTAATCGTTAACCCAAAATTTAGTTCCGTTAATTAACGGATTAACGATTTAACGGACTTGCCCACCTATGTTGATAGCGCAGTCTATTCTGAGTCCTCTCATGCAAAGAAATTGGATCTAGCTTAACCCGCGCCCCGTAGGGGGGGCCGAAACGGCCCCCCGTGTCCTTTTCCCTCGATATCTCCTAAACGGCTGGAGATATCGCCACCAAACGTTCAGGACCCCTCCGGGCATCAATTTTACACAATATGACCAAAAATTTTTCCAGAGGCTATGATAGGTTGGCCACAAATGACGTCAGAATGACGTCATGTTCTGCCATTTTCGACCGAAAAAAGACCTTCGCCAGAAGAGCTGTCAGGCCCACAGCTTCGAAGATACAGAAAAATGACCAAGACATAAAAGGTGTAGAATTGACAGGGCTGCAAAACTGCTATCTCGAATTTTTTAAACTTTTGAGTTTTGACCCCCAAAAATCAAAAATGCCATTTTTTTATATATTAGCAAAAAAACAAAAAGTTTTTTGAGTTTCGAAAAAACCGGAATATATGTGATAGTACCTACCATCTTCTATCTACATACCTAATTTCAGATCGATATCTCGTTTTTTGGCCAAGTTATAGCGAAAAAACTGTGCAAAAATGATGACGTCAAATTTTTAAACTCAATTTTTGGCAATTCTAGACCACGTGGGGCAAAACAAAGACCACCATTGGACTCCCCGTGACGAGCTGCATCGAATGGATACCCATTTTATGCAAAAATATCAACTTTGATATTTGACCTAATTTGACCTGACCTTGACCTGACCTTGACCAAAACGTGACCTAAGCTGGCTCCAAAGGCTGCCTGACCCGCATAATCGCATTTGTCATGTAAAATGGACCATAAAACATGTGTCACACGACACTTTCATATTGTGACCCCCGGTGACCTGACCTCGCTGTGACCTGACCTGGTATCAGTGACCTCAGATAGCAAAGTATGTGCTTGACGAACAATGTACCATCGATGGTTTTCAATAACTTACCAATTTACTCGATTTCACAACACATTTCTTGAAATGACTGTGAACGGTGAAAATCTGACCTTTGACCTGACCTGTGACGTCATCGGTTTGAACTAGGTCAATGAAATTTGGTCACAAGGTAGTTCCCGGGTGGGGCTATCCAACGCCGTTTGAATTTCGAAAATCGGCCGGTAAATTTCCGAGATCTTAGGGGGGGGCCGAAACGGCCCCTCCCCTACGGCTGGTAGGGTCCGCCGGTAGCCCTACGGGGCGCGGGTTAAAAACTGAGCTCATGGGAGCGATTGCCGTGGTTAAATGTTTTGCGTCGAAATCGGCCGACCATGACGTCACTCTGACGTCATTTCTGGCTGACCTATGCACAGTAGGCGATTTCGCTATTCTAGCACGTCATGGCTTATATCTCGAGTTAGGCTCGAAAGAACTTAGCTTGTAACCTCTCATCTTGTAGAACACTTCACTTTCACCTGACATTGTGTTTTATATCAGAAACTGCTGTGTTTTCTTTGCAATATGCAATAAAGCAAACAATGCCTTTCCCCCATAGGCTTATAACAGGACGGAAAGCTGAAAGTGAAAACTACTGTGACCTTTTCAAAGTAACTAATGACTTAGGTTGTCTCTGCGCAGGCGCAGAGCTGAGTGGTTGGTCCGCCGGAGGCTCCGTGCTTGTAGCACACATAGAAGCTGTAAAGCGTTCGTTTCGCGACAAAAACTTACTTATTTGTTTGAAAGTTTCTTGCATTATATATTGATATCATTTTTACTGCAAGATATCAACCAAGTGATGAAAAATAACCTCATTTGTAAAAAGGTAAGAATAGCAAGATAAAGTGAGAAGCGTCATATTTGTCCCGAAGCAGCTATCCAACTGCCTGCGGAACCTGTCAAAATAATTATAAAAACAAACGTGACGTTGTGAGCAAAGCGCCTTTAGAGCAAGTATTTTTATAAGCGTCGTAGCCCTCCATTAAAACGGCGAAAAAGCTGTGTGTATAGAGAATCATCATGAAAAAGAAAGAAGGAACCAAAACAAGAGAGCTTCAGAAGAAAATTAAAATACTTCAGGACCAACTTACCAGCCAAAGTGACCTGGTCTCTGCTATGGGTGTTCAATTGGCAGAGCTGATGCACGATTTGAAAGCAGAGAAGGAAGAGAGGTGTTCAAACTTTCACGGCATCCCAGAGTCTCTGGATGTGAACAAGCTGTGGGCTATCATTCGGAAGATAGAAAGTGATGTAAACGAAATCAAAGGGCATCACGTACACTGTAGAAACCTCAGCAAGTCAGTCGATGAACTCGGAGCGCTCTGCGCAGCTGCTATGGTGGCGGCCGGAACGAAGCTCCACCACGATATTTCTGAGAGGCAGAACACGAAGCCAGTTCAAAATGAAGGTGAACAGCTGTACATATCTAAGCCCACTGCAACTGAGCAGCAGAAAACACATGCGAACATCAGCCCTATGGAAGCTCAGATAAATTCGACTTCTGAACCGCAAAGAGACTTAAAGGCATCCCAACGCGGCAAGAGCGCTCAAGAACGCTCAACGGGTCAAGACGTCGATTCCGGTAACGAAATCCCGACAAACACGGCCAAGAACGATGATGGATCAAGCTGGACCCTTGTGAAAAGACGAGCAAACAAGCCAAAACAGTTTCCCAGTGGAGCCATTCTAGTCGGCGGTGAGAACGTAAGGCGTATCTGCACAGCAGCTAGGGAAGAGTTCAACTTCGGAAGTAATGTCGCATTCTCTTCCTCCCAGCACTCGAGTCCCGCTGATATGAGTCGGCAAATCATCTCCGCGGTAAGAAAAACCAATGCCGACGCAGTGGATGTAGTTATTCATCCGGAAGGAAGAGACACTGTCGAATCGGAAGCTGACAACATCCTGGAGGGCCTCGCACACACGATCACAACAGCAAAGGGGCGACACAACGTTCGAGACGTTGTTCTCTGCTCGTTGATCGAAAGGAGAGACGTAGGTCAAGCCGCATCGGAAAGAATCAGACTGGTGAATGACCAACTGTCATCCCTGTGTGCTGCCTATGGAGCACGATTCCTCGATATGCGTACTCGACTGAAAGACTGCGCCTACAGGGGAATCAACAGGACTGGCTGCCTGTAC